TGGGAGATAGCCAAGTTTCTTGTAAAGCACTCTGACAATGATCGAAGCATGAGTTTATAAACATTCCACCTCTCGTAGAATTTCTAAAAAAATTGATTAATGCTCCCAACATGTCCGTCCTAAACCCTACAAAAAAAAAAGAAATTCCGGTTTAGTACTTATTTCTAACCGGTTCTCTTATTTACATCGAACCAATTGGGTTAAAACCTTGGAGTGCATCGAGCTGGTGTGGATTACATGCTGTCACATTAAGCTTGCAATGGTTCCAACGCTTGGTCCGGTCAGCTGAAGGTGGTACAAGCCCATGATGGAACTGTTTACCAAGTGTAGAATATGTAAACCGGCTTAGACAAGTGTAATACAACCAGCGCATGGTAGAGTTAAAACATTGGTCTATGATATAAACCTTCTAAATTGTTAAAAATATTTCAAGATAATTTTCATAAACGTAAATTAAGTTTCTAAACTGTTTAATTTTTGTTACTATTTTTTTTTTTACAAAATAACATATAACCTCCAAAATCTAGACCAGCACATAGACATAGTATAGAGAAAGATACCTGGAATACATCGTATGCTGAATTTAAGATGAACATTGGTGTTTTAATGAATCTCAATGCATATTGTGGAAAAAAGCACTGTAAAGATTTTGATAAAGTTAGAGATTTAACTTCGCAAAAAAAAAAGTTGATATGTGTGATTGTACCAGAGATGGTTCAGGATAGAACGCTCGTGTGCAATTTGGATCAAGGTTCTTTTGTATACCCTAGAAAAGTTGTTCCACATTATGCAAGAAAATCAGAAATATTGTGGGAATGATTGAGAATCAAGCTGAGTTAGATCTTAGTATATACCTGGAGAGACACAAGCTTAGTGTAGAAAGATCTCATTGTCCGGTTTGATGCCACATCGATTCTGTTATACCAATATAAAGCATGAATATTTGTAAACCAATCCGGTTACTGTATAAACCAGAGATAAAAACATATATGGTCAAGAAAACTTACGCGTCAAGAAAGAATCCAGCGTCGCTCATGCACTTAACGTTTGCGGTTTTTGGAAGATAGTTCTTGAAGTTGTCACAATGCAAAAACGTTGATAAACCACCAGCTGAACAACCGGTCAGAAGAGCCTATGTACCACCGGTTATTAATGAAATTGGCCGGTTTAGTATCAACACATTAATAATTTGATGTCTACAAAGTAACTACAGCTAAATTAACCGGTTTGATGCACACAAAAAAGCTAAATTGACCGGTTTAGTATCAACACATGGATTTACTTAGTGAAACTAAACCGGGACAGTAAAAAATTTTTTTGCCGGTTATTAATGAAACTGGTCGGTTTAGTATCAACACAATAATAATCTGGTGTCTACAAAGTAACTCAACCTAAATTGACCAGTTTGATGCACACAAAAAAAGCTAAATTGACCGGTTTAGTATCAACGAATGGATTTAGTTAGTGAAAATTAACCGGGACAGTAAAAAAAAAAAGATTTTTGCCGGTTATTAATGAAATTGGTTAGTTTAGTATCAACACAATAATAATCTGGTGTCTACAAAGTAACTCAACCTAAATTGACCGGTTTGATGCACACAAAAAAAAAAGCTAAATTGACCGGTTTGATGCGCACAAAAAAAAAAACTAAATTGACCGGTATAGTATCAACGCATGGATTTAGTTAGTGAAACTAAACCGGGACAGTAAAAAAAATTTTTACCTTGCGAGCTTTTGCTAAACCTTTGGGTAGAAGGTCAAGAATGATGGCCTTCCATATTCGTTGACCTCTGAAATAAAGCATTGACGTCTGTCATTACATTCAATCGAGTAAAATATCAGTAATTAATGTACTCACAAGCTAGATTGTTTGGTACGTTTTCCGGTTATTGAAAGCGGTTTAGTAAAGTAAAAATTGGTTTACCCCGTTGCGAAATTGTGCATCTCCCGCAAACGAAGCTCCATCGCAATACCTCAGCCTGACTTTATTCCAGTTGTAAAAATCTGATATAAAAATTGTACATTATAGTACAAAATTAGAATAATGTGGAGTCCAACCAATGTGCAGCTAATACTAGTAATATATAGAAATTAACTAGTAATCATAATGTGTATACGATACGTGAAGCCTTTAGAATAAAGTGTATACGATACGTGTGTGTGCTCGTAAGGAAGGGGACAAAGACAAAAGCAAATAAGGAGAATAAAGCCAAAATTACTATTTAGATGTCTCATGTCTGTATATTTTATTAGAGGAAAGCTGAATTTAACAGAAACATTTGAACCATCACGTGAAAGAGAGACCATACCACAAGCAAACATGTTCACTTAATAAATTATTTAATAGATTAAGCTTTATATTCGTAATAAAATTGATTTATTATACTATAATGACCTGGATTTAAAGAGGCGTTGTTGCTCAAGATTCCAGTGAAGACGGCAGTTTTGCTCATAAAACGTGTCGACCCTCGACGGGTCTTTGATCTTTCCACGCATGATGCTATATCATTGCACCATCCACCTCCCTGTAACCAACTTTACATTAGTATATATGGAGATAAATAGAGAATGTTATAAATGCGCTGAATAAAGTGTAAGGCGTGAGACACGATCCAACTAGCTCGAGACTTATAATCTTGGTTGCATTTTAATCTACATAATTTACATTTTAACTCAACAAATATCTGATAATTGTTAACTCGTTATTAAAATTTATTTTAAGAGCTAAATTAATATTTTCAAAAAAAAAAAAATAAAAAAAAAATATTTTCAAAATAGGAAGTTATCAGAAACAACTACTCTGTAAATATGTGTGATTCTTCTATATGCTTAGCTGTATTCAATTGTTTTTTTCCCTATTCATGGAGTTGGTTACAACAGCAATACTTTAAGAAAGGAACTAATAAAAGATAATGCCCTACCAAAATGGCTGGCCAATTTCAGTATCCACAGCAAATGATTGATTACTTGTTAAAGGTATTTTTTAAATAAATAAATAAACATTTGAAGAATAAAAAAAAAAATTGTGCATGAAACATTTAAGTATAGTAAAAGTTAATTACCTCAAACTGCAAAAGCCAATTGTTTGATCCTGCGCCGAAGCCTTTGTCTAAATGATATGCCGGTAAGCTACCGTCCAAGCAAACTACAAAAATATAAAAGCAAAACATATAAACCCAAATGTCTGAAAAAAAAAAAAAACATTGACATGAGGAAAGTCAAATGAATGACCCAAACGATAGTGACTATATAGAAACAAGTAGATAGTAGTCAAATTTTAATGATGTTCCGGTTAAAAAGTATAGTGAATCATCCACAAAAAAAATGATATATAATCCTTGTATTATTACACGACAAATGCATGATTACGTTGAAGAAAAAGGAAAAGACGACAAATGAAAAAGGAGGAAAGACCGAGGAGGACATACAAGCACCAAGAGCAGCAGCCCCTCGAACCAGTGTCATGCTGACTCTCTGCCCTGGATCGCTTGAGACAAGCGGCATAGATGAGGCTACAAAGACGAGAAGAACCATCGCCGCCGTTAGATCGAGAAGCCACGGCGTCTTCATTGTTGAGTTAGATGCTAGTATGTGTTTATCTTCTTGTTGTGTATAGATTCTTGAGAGGGNGCACCAAGAGCAGCAGCCCCTCGAACCAGTGTCATGCTGACTCTCTGCCCTGGATCGCTTGAGACAAGCGGCATAGATGAGGCTACAAAGACGAGAAGAACCATCGCCGCCGTTAGATCGAGAAGCCACGGCGTCTTCATTGTTGAGTTAGATGCTAGTATGTGTTTATCTTCTTGTTGTGTATAGATTCTTGAGAGGGAAATGGAAATGTTTATATATGTAGCTAGGATATTAGAGATTTCATAAATATAAATGGAAAGATATTTGGTGAAGAAAGGGAAAGGAGAGGCCAAGTGGGTAAACAGGTAATTGCGAAAGGGAGAGAGAGAGCTTAGGATTTTGATAGGCACAAAGAAACTTTCGTCATCTTATTATATATATATGCAGATACAAATATACATTCACAATTCATCACATGGAGACAGGACTTATCTTTCATGTGTGTAAAAAGAGACATCTGACCAAAAATTAAATTATTTTACTTTTCTGTTCTTTGTTTTGTTCTTATTTATTTACATGAAAGACTCAAGCAAGACTCCACATCTCTGATTTCTTATTTTCAATGAATTTTACAAACACCCACACGAGAGAGCTAAGTCTAATTATGTGTAGAATAAACAAATGTGTAAATAGGAACAAACAAATTATGATGGGAAACAAATATCTTAGTCTTTTTTGAAATAATTCGGATTAGCGTTGAAAATCAATCTTTGTAGGTGTCTTCTGGATTAGGTTCACCAATCTTGTATAATTCTCTCTTTATAAACAATTTTTTTTTATAAACCGGAATACATGTAAACAGATGTCAAACATAACATATTTATAAACACTAATCATATGTTTGTTATTTATCATTATTGTTTTCCTTTAACAAAATCACTTATTAATGCTTTCTTAGGTCAACTAAATATTTTTTTTTTGCAAATGCATACTTTTATTAAATTAATCATCACAATAAAGACAAAATGAATTGTTAGTTACGGTTGGTAGTCATGATGAAGTAGTTTGGTCTTAACGGTCCCTCCTTATTCTCCAAGTGCACAATATTCCTTCTTTGCCTTTGAAATGAAGCTACCAAAATTATCATTACATTTTGTCCATAGATTGAACTTAACAAACTTTAAAAGATATTTCTCATTAATTAACATTAAAATGTACAAAGGTGATGATTATATAGTAATGACCGGATCAAAAGATTCAAAACAGAGGAGTTTATCTACAACCTGTCAAAGCTTCATCTTTCTTCTTTCTATTACTGTTCGTCAGAGAATGTAATCTTCTGACCACAGAAGGTAACCTTTTGAACGGCGCAGGGGATTGCCTCCTCTTCCTTCGGCTTTGATCTGATCGGCAAACCAAAGCCTCCTCGTCTAAGCTCGTCTTCGCACCTAGAATATATCAAAAACCACATGTCATATATAACCAGCTCTTGATAACAAAACTCAAATAGTTATAAATCACTTACCAAAGCTTCTCTGCAAGGTCGTTAAGGTTGTACCTAATTAACACAAAAATAAAAGAATAAGCATTCATCTTCTTGTTAATAACCTCAAAAACATCGCATATTAAGTTTAAAAGAAACAAAACTCCACAAACATGGAAAATCAACTTACTTGGGTCGGAAAGGGTATGGAGCTATCTCAGGCATCTTGACATAAATCCCTTTAACATGCTTGTAAATTCGCATAACCTATAGTAAAAGAGATTTAATCAGAGCAGTCCTAACTTTCAGAAAAACTATCATTATGTAATTAAAATTATTTTCATCATTACTATAAATGAGAAGTCTCACCTTCTTTGCTTCGGTAAGAGTAGCAAACTCAACACAGCAACAGTCCGCACATATGCCCCAGCGGTCTACAATAAGTCTAACACTAGCAACTTCTCCAACATCTTTGAAGAAACTGATGCTGTAAAATATGAAGAGATAAAATGAAAAAAAAAATGTTCTCAAGAAGAAAAAGAGGTGAATCAAAGGAACTATACTTACATATTTGGTATGTTAACAAGCACGTTTTTTTTCTGGGAGAAATCGGCAAAGATAGTCTTCTTACTCGATGAAACTTCCTGAATTTTAACAGCCAAGTGTGTTAGTAGTAATACTGTAAGAAGAAAAAAGAACTTCAATTTATAATAAAAAGACAAATTCTTGAAGATAATAAGAAGGTACCTCAACATAGTCTGGAGTTTCATCAAGTCCTTGCACTGATGCATTTTCTTGTAGCACAAGACTTTCTCGCTGAAGATAGTCTTCGAACCTGGAATATCAAAAAAAAAAAAATTCCTGTGATCTCTTCAAATACACCAAAAACTCAAGTTGTAAATAGTTAAATAACTTACCAAACCTTGTGATCTATGCAATACCTAATTAACAAATATATAAGCATTAGTTTCTGTAATGGCATCAAAACTCTAGCAATAAGTTACATAAATAATTTACTTGGCTCGTGAAGGCTTTGGAGCATCCTTAGCGAAAGCTAAGTAAACCTGGCGCTTGTTTAAATATTCACCGTTCTTCTTCTCCATCACCTCATGTCCAGAAAGAAAAAAAAGAAGGTTTGATCAGTTATCTCTACTTCAAAATAAACATAACTATAAACTAGTTTTTCAAATGACTAGTAAAATAGTTTCCATTATTATTACTATAAAATACTCTCTCACCTTCTCAGCTTCGGCAGCAGAGGCAAACTCAACATAGCCAGACCCCATCAGACCGGTACTTTGGTCTACCATAAGTCGAACATGAACAACCTCTCCAACATCTTTAAAGAAATTGATGCTGTAAGTAAAAATGGAGGGTGATTAATTACATATCAGTCATGAAGAACTTGATCAAAGGACAAAAAGCAAAGAAGAAGAAATTTTAAGTGCTACTTACATATCTGATACTTTAGTTTGCTTAGAGAGATAGTCAACAAAGAGCGTCTTATCTCTTACAGTGGTAACTGTCTGGATTCAAAAAATCGAAGTGTGTTAGCACACAAGGACTTAACTTTCATGACAAGAAAAAATGCTTCCTGATCATCTTTCAACATTGTGGCAACAGTTGAGATATCATGATGATAATAAGAAGAGATACCTCAGCAAAATGGGGAGTGTCCTCAAGTCTTTTCATCAACAGAATCTCATGATCGTGCAAGTATTCACCATTCTTATATTTCAGCGCCTACAGTACAAAAGATACTTGAAGACTTTAATAAAAAACTGATTTAATAATCATTTCATAATTAATATATAAGAAAGAAGAAGTGCTCACCAAATTAGCTCGTTCAGGAGAAACAAACTCAACAAAGGCATAACCCACATGCTTATGCTGGTGGTTTACGATAAGTCGCACACTAACAACGCCACCAATATATTTGAAGAACTTGATGCTGCAAAAAAAAAGTAATCATCAGTCATAGAAAAAACAGCACGAGAAAAAAAAAGTGAAGATGTAAAAGTGATACATACATATGTGATATTTTAGTTGTTTGTGGAGAGAGATTGGCCATGAAGAGTACAGAAGCTTCCTGAAATTTTAACAGCCAAGTGTATGTGTTAGCCGGACTCTTTAAGAAGAAAAAGGAGGCTCATCCCTACAAAAATAGTAAGAAAAATCTAAGAAGAGATGGTACCTCAGCATTGGTAGGTATCTCATCTTCTTCTATGGGAAGGCTTTCTTGTTGAAGGTAGTCTTCATCTTCTTCTGCTTGTTGAAGGCAGCTTTCATCTTCTTCTACTTGTTGAAGGTAGTCTTCTTCGTCTTCGAGGTACCTGAAATACATGAAAAATTCCTGGTGATCTCTTCAAATAGTAAAAAAAAAAAAAAATCCCAATAGTAAAATCACTTACCAAACTTTGTGATCTATGCAATACCTAATGAACAAAAAGAGAGTGTTAATAAGCATAAAAACTCCTACTCTTAGCAATAATAGTGTAACAATTTTTTTTAAAAAAAATATATAAATGAATAGTTACTTGGGTGGAAAGAATGAAGCTTCCTTATTAGCTACATCAAGAACAATATTGCGCCAGTTCTGAAACTTATCACACTTCTTTTCTTTCAGTGCCTATAAAGCATTAAAAAATTCAGTTTATCACACGAGTAAAAAAAAAAAAACAAAGGCATCGTTTGAAGTCTCATCACCTTGTTTGCTTGGTCGTTAGAAGCAAACTCAACGAAGGCATCGCCCGTAAAAACACCCCTGTTGTCTACAACAAGACGAACACGAACTACTTGTCCAACGTTTTGGAAGAAACAGAGTCTGAGACAATAAAAAAAACAAACATATAACTTAGCTCCAGAGTAAGTGGAAAAGTGAAAGAAGGTGATTTTTCTTACATATCTGATATGTTAGTGTAGGCAGGGAGATGAGAAACAAAGAGTGTCTTCTTTGGTTCCCGAATAGGTTCGGTCTCTTTCACTGTCTCCTGTTACAAAAAAAGATGCTTGATTTTGAACATAAACTTGTAAAATATCTAACAAACATTAGGATATAAAACGCATAAATACGAAAATATTTGTAGAAATTTATATACCAAGGTAGCAGTCTTCTCATCAGACAGCAACGATTTTTCTTTAGGTTTCTTCAGAACCGGTTCGGTTCCCAAATCATCTTCCGATTTTCGCTTACACAATAAATTAGCAGAAGATTGAAACATAGTCGCAGGCAAGTTTAAAATAGAAGCTTAAGAGTAGAAGTTTAACCCTAGAGTAGAGAGAGCCGTAAAATAAGTTAAAACCCTCGACAAAGTATCTAGTTTGGGCCGGTCTGGGCTTTTGTATTTTCCTTTTATCGCTACTCATTAATCGTTTTAGTTTGTTAAAAAGGTCCGAACTCGCTATATCTCCGGCGACTGTGTGTTGCATCTTCTCCAATGGCCAGCTCATGCGAGAAAGCTAATTTTTCGAGTAAGAGAAAACCGGAAGATGGTTTGGGGATCGAACCGGTTCTGAAGAAACATAGAGAAGAATCTGAGGACAATGAGACGGAAGCAAGTGTTGAGTTGTTGTTGTCTGATGAGAAGGCTACTACTACTTTGGTATATAATTTTCTCTGCAAGTTTTTTGAATATTTTTATTATATTTATATATGCGTTTATGTTTTTCAGTTGAGCTTCTTGCTTCTTATTATGTGTCCAATCGCTAAACAGGAGGCAGTGAAAGAGACCGAACCTATTCGGGAACCAAAGAAGACGCTCTTAGTTTCTCATCTCCCTGTCTTCACCAAAATATCAGATATGTAAGAAGAATCACCTTCTTTCACTTTCCACTTCTCTGGAGCTAAGTTATAGTTTCTCATGATAAAGGATATTGTTTTTTTTTTACGGTCTCAGCTTATGTTTCTTCCAAAACGTTGGGCAAGTTGTTCGTGTTCGACTTGTTGTAAACAATCAGGGTATTTTTCAGGGCGATGCCTTTGTTGAGTTTGCTTCTGCCGAACAGGCAAACAAGGTGAGATCATAGTGTTTGACTCATATGGATATAAACTGAATTGTTTTTTTTTTCCTTTAATTATATGTTCTAGGCATTGAAAGAAAAGAAGAATGATAAATTTCTCAACTGGCGCAATATTATTCTTGATGTGGCTAATAAAAAGGGAGCTCCATTGTTTCCACCCAAGTAAATATTCATTTTTGTAACACTATTATTACTGATTAACAGTATTAATGTTTTCTTTTTTTGTTTATTAGGTATTGCATAGATCACAAAGTTTGGTAAGTGATTTTACTATTTGCCTCTTGAGAAGTGGGATTTTATAGTGTTTTACTATTTGGAGAGATCACCAGGGATTTTTCATGTATTCCAGGTTCCTCGAAGATGAAGAGTACCTTCAACAAGTAGAAGAAGAAGATGATGAAGACTACCTTCAACAAGTAGAAGAAGAAGATGAAGACTATCTTCAACAAGAAAACCTTCCCATTGAAGAAGAAGATGAGACACCTCCCAACGCTGAGGTACCATCTCTTCTTAGATGTTTCTTTGGAGTGAGCCTAGACCTTTTTTTCTCCTTAAGAGTTCTGCTAACACACCTGGCTGTTAAATTCAGGAAGCTTGCGTACTCCTCATGGCCAATCTCTCTCCACAAACAACTAAAATATTACATATGTATGTATCACTTAACATATACACTTTTTGGTTCTCTGTGCTAGTTTTTTTTCTAAGATTGCTTGCTTTTTTTTTTGCAGCATCAAATTCTTCAAAGGTTTTGTTGGAGGTGTTGTTAGTGTGCGACTTATTGTAAACCACCAGCATAAGCATGTGGGCTATGCCTTTGTTGAGTTTGCTTCTGCTAAACAAGCTAAGTTGGTGAGTACTTTATAGATTAATTATATGATGTTATTATTAAATCGAATTTTTTAAGTCTTTAACTATCTTTTGTACTTTAGGCGCTGAAAATAAAGAATGGTGAATACTTGCACGATCATGAGATTTTGTTGATGAAAAGACCTGAAGAAACTCCCCATGTTGCTGCTGAGGTATCTCTTCTTACTATCATCAAAATATGTCACAGGAAGCATTTTTCTTGTTATGCAAGTTAAGTCCTTGGTGCTAACACCACTTCGCTTTTTAAATCCAGACAGTAAGCACTGTAAGAGACAAGACGCTATTTTATTGCAATATCTCTAAGCAAACTAAAATATCAGATATGTAAGTAGCACCTAAAATTTCTTCTTCTTCTTCTTCTTCTTCTTTTTTCGTCCTTGGATCAAATTCTTCATTACTGATGTTAAATCAATTCTCCATTTTTACTTACAGCATCAATTTCTTTAAAGATGTTGGAGAAGTTGTTCATGTTCGACTTATGGTAGGCCAAATGGTCGGTGTGTTGGGGTCTGGCTATGTTGAGTTTGCTTCTGCTACCGAAGCTGAGAAAGTGAGAGTATTTTTATAGTAATAATTGAAAATTATTTTACTTGTCATTTGAAAAAACTAGTGTATAGTTATGATGAAAATCCTTTAAGTAGTTAATTTTGAAGTAAAGAGTACTGATCAAATCTTCTATTTTTTTTATGAATATTGGAGGTGATGGAGAAGAAGAACGGTGAATATTTAAACAAGCGCCAGGTTTATTTGGCTTTTGCTAAGGAAGCTTCACCGCGTTCACAAGCCAAGTAAATTGTTTTAAATATATGTTTATGTAACTTATTGCTAGAGTTTTGATGCTATTACAGAAACTAATGCTATTATATTTGTTAAATAGGTATTGCATAGACCACAAGGTTTGGTAAGTGATTTGACTATTTTGAGTTGAGCTTTTTTGTTATATATTTGGAGAGATCACAGGTTTTTTTTTTTGATATTCCAGGTACGAAGACTATCTTCAGCGAGAAAGCCTTCTACTACAAGAAGATGCAGCAGTGCAAGAACATGATGAAACTCCAGATTTCGTTGAGGTACCTCTTCTTAGTATCTTCAAGAATTTTTTTGTTTAATTATAAAACTGTAGTTCTTTTGTCTTTGAGAGTCTTACTACTAATACACTTGGTTGTTAAATTCAGGAGGTTTCCTCGAGGACAAAGACTGTCTTTGCGGATCTCTCTAAGAAGAAAAACTTGGTCGGAAACATACCAAAAGTGTAAGTAGTACCTTTTATTTGATTCCCTCTTTTTTTTGTTCTTGGGAGCAAGTTTTTTCATTACATCCTCTCCATATTTTACAGCATCAGTTTCTTCGAAGATGGTGGAGAAGTTGCTAGTGTTCGAGTTATTGTAGACCGCTGGGGCATAAATAGGGGCTGTTGCTGTGTTGAGTTTGCTACTGGTACCGAAGCAAGGGAGGTGAGAATCATTTTGTAGTAATGATGAAAATAATTCATGAAGTATATATGATTAAAAATATATACAAGTAGTTTTCTGAAAATAGGACTGCTGATTAAATCTCTTATACCGTAGGTTATGCAGATTAAGAAGCAAGGTTATAAGATTTATGTCAAGAGGCCTGAGATCGCTCCGTACCCTTTCCGACCCAAGTAAGTTTATTTCCATGTTGTGGAGTTTTGTTTCTCTTTAACATAATGCTATCTTTTTGATGTCATTAACCAGAAGATGAATGCTTATTTATTTTGTTTGTTTGTTAATTAGGTACAACGATGACCTTGCAGAGAAGCTTTGGTAAGTGATTTATAACTATTTGAGTTTTGTTATCAAGAGCTGGTGTGTATGACAAGGAAAGTTTTGGTATATTCCAGGTACGAAGACGAGGTTAGACGAGAAGGCTTTGGTTTGCCGACGCCGGAGAAAGAGGAGGCAATCCCTCGCCCTCAGAAGGTTACCTTCTGCGGTCAGAAGATTATCTTTTCTGACGAAGACTAATAGATGAAGAAGATGAAGCTCTTTTGGTGTCTATAACTTATGATACTATGCAACTTGAGTTGATTACATATTTAGTTAATTATGTAACTTGTGATTCAATATGACTTGAAATGTCTTTCTTGTTTGGTTATCTATTTTTCAAACCCCTGCATAACATTTTATACTCAAAAGAAGCAACCAACACACCAATATGAGTCAGCATCACACTTTGGTAACTATACGCCAAGTTTTTTAGAGCATTCTAACCCCAAAAACATTCATATAGACGAGCATAAGCAATTGCACTCGCTGTAATGGTCGTGGAATAATTAAACCAACATGTATCTCAATTGTATACTTGGTAAGGAACTAGTAAATGTTTTTAAACATATTTAAACCATTAAACCGGATCCTTGTTCGCTCCGAGAAATAGAATCATAGGGATGCGGGAATCACGACTTAAGGATTTGTAGACCTAATGATTGCTCAATAAACTGGAATTATAAATCAAGATTACGAACATTGTTGATCTTCTCCAATTAACCTAGAACAATCAAAACAAGGAACAAGTCAGTAAAAACAATGAGTGTGGCGTTTTTTTTTTTGTCTCTTATGGTGTTGCCATGCCGCGTTACTGTATCAAAGATCACAGCGGATATCACTTCCCTATCTAATCTATCAAAAATTGTAAGTTACTGTTTTAAAAAGAAGAATATTAAGAGCATGACCAACTCTAAAAATGATTATTTAGAGTTCTAAAACACTCGAAAGTTATTATTTTAATGCAAGTTATTTATACATTTTAAAATTTGTTTATTTTACATAAAAGTTCACCGTTGAAAGAAAGACAAGTGGTCATGGGCACTTAACCCAATATCTGAATCGGTACTCAAACCCGACTCGAAATCTAAACCGAAATAATAAAATACTTGAATCTATTATATTAAAAGAGAAGTCATGACTCACTTCATGTGTGATTTTTTAGTTTGGACCATCTTTAGAAATTTTATATAAATTTACATAACATCATTATAATATCTTTTCATATCTTTAATTTTTATTTGAAATATAAATAAATAATTTTAAGAAAATTCTAACAAAATCTTTTAAAAATCTTATAGAATATTTTCAAGATATAGTTTCAAAAATGATTTGATTAAAAATTTAATTATCATATAATTAAAATTTATTTTATTTTTTAACAAAAAAATAAAATTATGTAATATACTTTTAACAATATCCCGAAATTTTGTTTATGTATTATGTAGGTCCAATTTAATTTACTTTTTTATATATTTACAATTTAGAAATTAAAAATATAAATTAGCAATGTTACATAATAATGTTTTTAAAAATTGTTACAAAAATACAAATTTATAAATTTTAAATTAATAATATTATAAACTACATAAATATTATTATAAAATTGGATATTATATACAATCAAATTATATTTATTTATTGAAAAATTTACTCCCTCTGTTATTTAATATATGATGTTTTGGATCATAGCACAAAAATTAAGAAATTTACATTCTTTTACAAAAGTATTTTTAAGGATATAGTTTTATAATCATTCAACAAATTATTAAAAAAAGTAAATCGGTTGAACAGTTTCCAATAAAGTTAAAGATAACTTTAAAACCTCAAAATATACCTTAAAATCTCAAAACATCTTATATTTTGAAATAAAATAAATCTTATAAAACATCATCTATTTAAAACGGAGTGAGTATTATATAATTTCAAATATTTTTGTATTAAAATACCCGCACAGTTGTACGGGTCGAGATCTAGTGGGTATTAAATTAGGAGAGATTAGATACCCAAACTCTGAATAGATATCTGAACTCTGAATGGATATCTGAAGATAGCCGATCATATATATATTTAACCATATATTTTTAATCTATTTCTCTTTTTTTTTTAATATTTATACTATACATGACTTAATATCATAATATATATATAATTTCAGACAAAGTGATTTATTACTCACATAAAATTAATGTCAAACTCTTATTTCGTGTATTAATAAATGTTGCATCCAATATTTCAAAGCAATGACTAAATTAATATATTTTGTCTTTAAATTTTAGTTTTCAAACTTATTAATTATCATATTAAAAATGAAAATTGGTTAAATCAAATATATATTTTTAAATATAAAAAAAAATTAAGCAATGAAAAATTTGATTATTTTTTCAAAACTTAAATATCTAAACTTGATCCAAAATAACCAAACATGAATTAAAAACACTCGAACCTGATCCGAAGCATAGAAATACCCCAACGGGTGTGACACCCTTATATTAATATACCCAAAATTTTGAAATATTCGATCCGACTCTGAACGCCCACCCTTAACAAGGGGTCTCAAAGTTTCACAAGTGATTTTAAAGCCAACTCCAAATGTAACCCAATCCGAAGTATAGAAATATCTTAATGGATGTTATATTTCTATATTAAAATATCTGGAAATTTAAATACTCAATCAAAATCCGAATGGATATCTGAATGCTCACCCTTAACATAAGGTCTAGAATTTTCACAGTCATTCTACTAATAATATGTATCTAAGAACTTTTCGTGCTTTTCTCTTCAGTTTTCTTTTTCTTTTTCTTTTCTTAAGAGATGACATATCTGTTTAGATATTAGCTTTGGAGAATCTCTTAAAGTTAAAGACAATTTAACACATATTATTTACATTATATAAGGTACTTTACGCTAAGGACACATTTATTCTTTTTACTTTCGATCTAAGAAAAAAAAACAATGTTATCCTTCTGCTAATTGTTGGAGACTGAATAAAAAATCTTCTTAAATTAATTGGACAATATCATATGCTCACAAATAAATCAATTTGTCTAAAGAAAAACTCCATTTCTTGTCTCTCTCTTGCCATGGATATTTCAAAGTTTTGAATAGTATTACCCAAAATTTGATCACTTTAATATATATATTCACACCTTCATACTTTTAACTACCAATCAGATTTTAATAATTACTTTAGCTAACATTTGCGAAAGTACTTCATATAACCAATAGGCGCAGTTAATCATCTTTTTTAGGTTCTTTGTTTCTTGATGGAAAAGGAAATGTTATTGATATGTTTGAGACATCGAAAAAGAACATGTCAACCTCATGGTTTATATCTCCTCTGCTTCTTGACTCATCAAACGCTCACTTAGAATTTTACAAACCTTTTGCTTATGACGTTAGTCAGGTTCAAGATGGCAAAAGTAAACTATGTAAGCTAAAGTTACTTAGGTCGTAACGAAAACATTCTCCCACTCACAATTGAATCTTAAATTTTAAACAGCAACTAAACCACTTAAGAACCATGTCCAAACACTCCAAAGTTCAAAATCAACACACAACANTCACTTAGAATTTTACAAACCTTTTGCTTATGACGTTAGTCAGGTTCAAGATGGCAAAAGTAAACTATGTAAGCTAAAGTTACTTAGGTCGTAACGAAAACATTCTCCCACTCACAATTGAATCTTAAATTTTAAACAGCAACTAAACCACTTAAGAACCATGTCCAAACACTCCAAAGTTCAAAATCAACACACAACAACATAAACAAATACATAAATTCCACGTCAGCAATCTGCTGATTATTATCAACATAACTAGAGGGTCTTCCACATTAATGAAACTAGCTTTGATCGTCTCCTCAAACAAACCCGTTACCATTACCATTAGCATGCCCATTGCCATTACTGACCTTGTTTCCATCTTCCTCCTCCTCCATAACTAAAAACTCTTTGCTCTTCTCTAACTTCTCCATGACATGAGCTTCAAGAGTAATCTCCACATCAATGCTCACACCTCCAGCTTTCCCGGGGTACAAATACATCATCCCATTAAACCGGTTATTCGAACCGCTCCTAACCGTTTCCGGTTTACCCCACCCAAAATCCACCTCATAAACCCTAAACCTCGGCGAGCTCCCAACCGCCACGCAGTTCACTCCCGCGTCTTTAAACTGAAATATCTTCGGAGACTTCTCCCACTCCTCGTTACGCGCGTCCACCACACGCGCGTCGTGCGCCACGATGGCTTTCTGCACCACCGAAGCTCCGAACTCCGGCCCGTGCGCCGCCAGCAGCCCCGCCGCCGTCCCCGTGAAGACGGCCTGGATCATGTTCCCGAAGTACTCCTCGGGCATGGGAGGGTCAACGCGTTTGCGACAGTCAGCGAAGACAGTGAAGACAGTTATGTCTTCGGGTTTAAGCCCACGCGCGAGGGTGACGTGGCGCCAGATGTGTGATGTGAGGGACTGGAAAGTGGAGAAGGGCTTTTTTGAGCCGTCGGATGGGACGGTTGAGTTGACTCTTGACTTGATCGTGTGGATGGCTGAGTCTGAGAACTTGAAGACTTTTTCTACAAGTTGCGGCGGTTCCGATGTGGCGTCGCCGTTGGAAGGCGCGTTGGGGTCATTTGGGGAAGCGAGGTCGAGTTTCACGCGCGTGTCACGCGCCTTGGAGCGGTCGAGGAATGGTGGGGTTGAGATGGTTTGGGATCCACGGCAGATCTCGGCCCATGAGCTCATGAAGTGCCATGTGGCTGTTCCGTCGAGGATTGCGTGGTTGAATGCTAGGCCCATTGCAAGCCCATCTTTAAGCTTCGTCACCTGTTTGCAAAAGAAAATAGTAAAATTAAAGAATCGAAAAGCATGCATGTATAAATGGATACTCCAACGACCACAGCTGTTTTCAATAGCCTTAAATTTATTTTATTGGACGATAGTCTCGAGACCAGAAAATGAGCAACAGAAACAATGACTACTCCAACGACCACATCTGTTTTCAAAGGGACATTACATTAAGTGCACATTAAATGCCGTATAGAATTTGAAAATACGTATACGTATGAATACGATGTTAAGGTTGATTGACATGCATTGGTCTAAAGCGGATGATGCACCTATATATATTTTCTTTTTTTTTAACAACTATTTTATTTAAATAAAATGTTAAATTACAATAAGAGTATTTGTTTATGTTTCATGCACCTATATTTATGTTTAGATTTGATTAATAACGAGGATTAACTTTTATGTGTACTAATATTTGATTGAGTACTTGTTTTGTCGTACATGACTTTCTTGCATGCCTATATACTACTAGTTAGTAGTTACCATCCATAAAAGTGTTACTGGTCAGTCATTTAATGATGCATATAATTGCTGTGCTACTTAATTTTCTCACATAGACGTTGAAATGCATTTTCAACCGAATTTCATGAACTGCGAATTCTGACTTATTATTGAATTAACTTCATGGAGATGAACATATACTAATTATACAAACAAATTATAAATATTGAGATTTATTTGTGTCCTACTTAACGTCATCCAACCAAAGACATCGCTACAGATGTGCGTGTATTAATAAGCTAACCATATGCATGTTGGCTTTTGATATATATATATATATATTAAAAATAAAAAGTTATGTCAAAATCAAGAATTTTTGTTTCTTTCATATGTGCATGTCAAGGTGGGGTACGTAATGCCATTACTTTTCCTAATCTTTGAAAATAATTAATGTCAACATTTTCTGATGGGTTTGCTGGAAACATGCACTGTCACTTAGATGTACTAATTCGTTAATCAGTTTTGTTTTTCTTTGGAGCTTAAAGACATTTGAATCAAATGTATAACTATGGGTCTATCAGTTTTGTACGTAACGTGATGTTTGTCTTTAAATGGTCATTTTATTCAAGTATTCTCCTTTCTTATTTTTTATGGTCGCTTGTGAAAACTATACACAAACCGACGTTATTAGCTAAAAATCAATGTACCATATAACACACATCAAAGTTCAACAATCATAACCACATAGAGATTGTTAATATTATCAAATATTTAGGAAATAATTCAGATTTGTTTAAGACTATCTCCCACTCAACCCTTATTTCCTCCTCAATATTTTCCTCTAAAATAAATTTATTATATTATAAAGGAAAATATTGAGGAGAAAATAGAGTTGTATCAGAGATGATCTAACTAATTCAATTTTATTTCACATTATATTCTATTGGAGATTTGTATATCTAATTCCATTTTATTTCACGTGTACGAAGAAACAAGATAAATGACAAAAATACTTGCATGTGGAAATATAATAATTTATATAAATTAAATAATTACCTGGACAGCAAGGAGAGGCCTGCTAAGTCCTTCCAAGTTCAAGATCCCATTGTACGGAACCAACTCCTTGAACTGAGCCGTCCCGTCCTCAGCCGTGAGATCATCAACGCTGACGTCAGCAGCATCAGCAACGGTGAACTCCACGCCGTTGATCTCTCCATCGTCAGCATCGTACTCAACCCGAAAGACCCCTTCCTCGTCCTTGGCCAGCTTACCGGCAAGCTGATAGAAGTCTTCAAGAACCGAGCCCAAACCATCCTTGAGCTTGTCCACGACATTGTTTTGGAAAGTGGGTTCCTCTAGATCTAGAAGGTTCTGGAACTTGTAGAGCAGAAACTTCTGGTTGTAGTAGAAAGCTAGGTAAGGAAGATCAAATGTGGTGAGATGGAATTGTTTCTTCCCTAGTATTGGCTTGTTTGGTTTCACATGGGTTTTGCTAGTTATCTTTATCTTCATGGTGAAAAGAGATATTACTTAGCCTTTTTTGATCAGTGTACTACTTGTGAGATTATAGTGTGGTGTGGGGTGGTGCATGAAGTAAGAACTAAAGACTGTTTTTTATAGAGACGTGCAGTGTGTAGTTGGGTTAGGCATTTAAGGTTTCATGAAAGTAGTTGTGATTCAATTAATGATTCAATTAAAGTCTCTCTCTCTTTAAATTTATTTGCTCGAATTGTTAAGTTAGGGATTAGGGTTTAGGTAGATAAAATATATACAAAAATAAAATAATTTAATTATGCTATATTACAACAGTAAACTGTAGGACACTATAAACGCCGATAAAGAGACCAAAGCAAATGGTACTATTACTATTAGTCTATTAGTATGGATCGAACCTGGATTTACAAATTAAGTTCCAAGCAAGGGTTGGATTACTTTGATTAAAACACCTAAACTTTGTTTTGAGGTTGATTATTTTATCTGAACTTTACACATGTCAATTACTTTACTGAGTCTATAGGACCCTACTTCCCCATATTTAATTAGTAGGTTAGTGGACCTGTGGAAGTTGGACATCGACTTCTCCGGCTAATTAAATCCCTTAGTATATGGTTTGTAATTATTGTACAAAATTACCCTAATCAAGGATGTCTGGTTTTAAAACAAGACAATAACATTCGACAGACAAACTATAAAACAAAGAAGATAATAATAACAAGTGTAAGGGTTAAAATAGAAGTCTGAGGTGTTATGTGTTTTTTTTGCTAACCATATATAGTTTTAAAGTTATCGCTTAGAGCACCATTAACGCAGTATCTAAGGAGGGTGTTTAGTAATTTTTATATTAAAAAAGTGAAAATAAACAAAATAGGGAAACATCGGTGCTTAATTAAGCTGTCCAAACGTTGGTGCTTAATCACTTCTACAATTTAAACTATTAAAAAAAAGAATTAGAACCCTTGATTGAGTATTTGTGTTAATGGTGCTCTTAGTGTGTATAGCCCAATCAATATCATCTAGTTTTAATTGTATTTTCTGTTCCTCTTCTCCATACAACAAAACTGATTATAGTGACTAGATGGCGATGATGATAGAGATGTGTGTGGAGTAAACATATATCAACATTCCATTTTTTGCATTGTATTAACATAATAATTAACACCAACCATCTAAATTTTCAAGTCGTTACAATCGACATAAACAAACATAAGATAGAACATGGAATCGATCACCAGTTGAAACTAATTGCCTCAAAGTGAAGGTTTTTAGCCAAACCAGATGAACATATCCTTGCCACATCATGCCTCATATTTCTTGGTCCACACACCATTACCCCAACGTCTTTATAACCTTTTGCCTCTAGTAGAATCTCTACAAAACGATAAAGATCAAGTATCAGAATCATGTAATGCTCACGTGGACTTCTAGTATTAATAAATGACTTACTTTTCAGATTAGGTTTGGCGCCGAACTGGACTGAAGTGGCTTGTACTATAGATTGATACGGAACGCTCTCGAGCTCTCTCTCACTCCCGTAGAACCATGAACTTGGAGAAGACGTAGACATCTTTAAATCTACGCTTTCTACTTGCTCCTTAGACTCCTTCTCTTCTTTGCTCGATTTCTTGCGCCACAAGAAAACTAGGCTTGAAGAAATAAAAATGCAAACACATCCTAGGAACATGTCCCAGAGCGATCTGTACGAGAAATTGTAAATCTTTCCCGTGTTACGATCAACAGGGTATATATAATAACGTGTGACAATCGCTATGAGCAAGAGAAACATGAGAAATGATGATAAGATCACGACTCCTAGCCAGAGTAAGTTGTTGGGTCCAAGGACTGGTGAGATTGGAGTGTCTAGAGGCTGAGGTTTGAACCATTTTGTTTGCAAAAATCTGTGATCATTAGCTGCCTCCGGCTTCTTGTCTTCTTGTGTTATATAAGCCTCGATGCGAAGATTCAGCCTAGAGATGTCTGAGGCTGAAATATCTGATGGGAAGATTAGGTCTAATAACGCAAGATCGTGGTAATGTTTAAAGGCACAAACAAGAAGAACGTCTGGTAGTTTTGTGGTTTGGTTTTGGGTCTGGAATATGAGTTCTCTGATAATTGAAATGAAGGGAGTAATTCCACTTCCCCCGCTCACTAGTATTAGAGAGTCATGCCTATATGAGAACGATAACGATTAGATAAAGTATAGTCTAGTAAGAGAATTAAGACCGTTAATCTTTGTACCTCAAGTCTAATGAGTTAGGGCCATAAGGACCTTCAGTGGAAACCTCTAGAGAATCAATGGAGGAAGAGATATGAGTGTAAAGCTTTTGAGTCCAGCTTCCTTGTCTTCTGATGACAACACTTAGTGTATCTTTCTCCAAGTTGCTGCTTGAAGTTATCGTGAATGGATGCCATTGAAGCTTGGAAATGCTTGGCACATGTGGAAACAATATGCTTGTTGGTGTGTAACATAGGCCTACAGTTAGATGAAAATAATGGTTACGATGCCTTGCAATAATTTGGTTGAAAACGTGAAGCACCTCTCTATATAGCCCAAAAAAACATGGCATTAGAGCTAAAATTATTAGATCAAACATGATTATACTTTTGATTAATTAATGTTTCACGCAAATAATTTGTGTCTACTTTTGTGTTAACATCTTAATTATCACATTGCATAAAATAAAACAAACACTGAAAAGTTCTATTAAAAATGTGCAAACTGTAAAACCTAAGAAATAATACCATAAAAATGCCATAAGTATTTTTCATTTTGGATTTGTATTTATAATTTGAAAATAAAATATTTGAAAGGAGAACCTCCTACGCTATTTTGGTTTCTATTTGAATGTAAAAGAAAATGGAGGACTTAATTATAAACCTGGGGTTTTGGAGAAAGTGAGCTCGAGGTTATCTGAAGGTAAGATCCGAAGATAGACAAGTCTAGATCTGTTGGTGGATTGTAAGAATCTCAAGTGGCGGTCGATAAAGAAGAGGAAGATGTTGGGCAAGATCATGCAGAACCATGAGTCTCCAACATGAAGCACGTAGAAGACTATGAAGAGACCGTAGAGATGGTGAGTGTAGAAGAAAATCTCAAACTTTTTTCGCCTAAAGTATGCTAAACTCGTCACCCACATTACAATTCCAATCACCATCGCTATTACTCCGGCTAGATTAGGAACATCTGACGGATCCCATTCAAACGTCTTTAGGTATAATAATAAAACGTGAAAAATATTAGTCCTGGGATAGAGTTAGCCAACAATAGGATTTGGTTAAACATGGAGTGGTAAATAGAATATTGCATAGATAAATATAATGAACTTAATGTATACATGCACTTTTTTCTTGAACTGACATGTATATACACTTTTTAAGATGAAATCACATCAAAATTTTGGATCAACGAATTATTTCCCCACAGAAATTATCGCTTGAAGTTAGATATCCCAAAAACAACTAAAACCGACCAATTAATTCTATGCGTATATGTGTTTTAGACTTTTAGGTGAAAGTTATTTTTGTCACTTTTAGAGTTATTTTGTGATATAAATATTTTAAATTTATTTTTTTGTGATTATGTTATAATTTAAAGATAAGGCAAGATTAAGTTTAGGGCTAGACAAAAAACTCGGATCCAAAAAACCGAACTGAATCCGATCCAAAAAAGTAGTATTGAATCCGAACCGAAATTGATTCAATATTCGAACGGGTTCAAAATTTTGGTATTTAAAGAACCGAAACCGAACCCGGCTCGAACCGAAATATTTCGGGTATCCGAATATATCCGAAAGAGATTTATATACCTATATATATTAATTATTTTAGGTTTAATATATATATAAAACATTCAATATATATAAAATACTTTGAAGTTGTTCAAAATACTTGTAAATATATGTAAATAGTCAAACATAGATGTCTAAAATTGTTAAAGTACACTCAAAACATCAAAAATACTGAAAAATATTATTGATTTACAATTCAAATATTCAAATTAAACTAATTTATATGTTAATTTTAGGTATTTTGACTTATGTTATTCAATTATTTGTAATATATTATTTTGTTTATAGTTTTTTTAGAAATTTAAAGTATATAATCAATTTTAAAATTTTAAAAAAGAATTTAAATGGGTTATCCGAACCCGAACTGGAACCCGCAAAGATCCAAACCGAACCCAAACCGAAATTTAGAAATATCCGAATGGGGTTAAAATTTGTGAACCCGAAAACCCGAAACCCGAATAGATCCGAACCGAACCCGAATGGGTATCTGAACGCCTACCCCTAATTAAGTTAGATGCAACGAACCTCCATCAACGTATCAACCATGGCCCAGTAGATAAGAAAAATAACGGTGTGAACAAGGAAGAGAAAGTTTGAGATATGTCCAAGCCAAATGTGGTATTTGATGCTTGACTCTGAAGTTAACCCGACTAGTGGAAGAATCGTAGAGGCTCTTGTCACAGGGAAAAACAAAAATGCCCAACAAATGTGGCCAACGTATCCTATCTTTAGACCAAAAGACCTAAATTTTGCCTGCCATCTGCAACATTTGAATTTCAATACTCAGTGCTTAATCAACTTTCCTATGAATTAGTTCTCAAAAAACAAAAAACAAAAACGTTTCTATGCATCTGTTTCAATATTCAGTGCTTACAATTTGGCATTGTCGTGATGGTCATAAGGAGGAGCGCTATAGCTACGGTAAAGATAATTGGAGAGAGCCCAAATCAAAAGAGCCACAAATAATAGTGAAAAAGTTAACTCTGTGACTGTCACTATTCCCAGTGGGCTCATCACCATCATCACCCTCCCTTTTATCTTCCTTTCTCTGCATTAAAGATTGTGATATTTTGCAAGTATTTAAACTGAGAGGAAATGACTTGCTCTAAGATCACTAACTAATACTCCATCCATTTCATTTTAGTTGTTATTCTAGGTTTTTTGCACACAGATTAAGGAAACATTTAATTTTACATATTTTCAAGATAAAAACACAATTACTTATACACCTAATCCCTTTTCAACCAATAGAAAAATATAATATTATATAAAACTAATAAATTTTGCCTCGAAACTCTAA